CTTTGAAACACTCCCTTGACTATTTTAAGTTACTTATCTAATCATATCTCTAATTCCATTGTGTATATCTTGGTTTCCTACTTGCAATAACTCAAGCATAACAGAGGCCAGAGTTTTTATCTTGAGTTTAAAAGGAAAAAAAAAAAGATCTTCACATATACTTCTTGATGATGTTCGGCATTTCATAGAACTTTTTTGGCTACGTAGTACTGTGGATTAATGACTTCAGGAAATAAACAATATAGTGACTCCAGAGTTCTTCCCTGGGTAGAATTAAATAGCCTACGTCTACATTAATTAATTAAAACCCAGCTGCAATAAGTCTTAAAACATTTCTTTAGAAATATTTAATAACTCATAAGATTTAAAAGAACAAAAAAGATTATACAATGTTAGATCAGACAAGATTTACGAGATCACTAAATTCTAATAGCTTAATTCACAGATGAGAAAGATGAGGCTTAAATGACTTGCTAACGTGTCAGCTAGTTTTCATTAATTTACAGTGACAGCAAATCCTGAAGTCAGGCATTGTGCTGGGGACCAGGATTACATATATATCTTTGTTGAATTCAGTAATCTAAATCAATGAGATTTTTTGCACTGAAAAAGATACACTCAAGAGAATCAGATAAAATTCCTTAATAACTGCTAGGTATCCTCTTACTTTTCCTATAAAGAAAGTTCTTTTACCATAGGGAGATAGTCCAATATACAGATTAAGAGTACTGGCTCTGAGAGCCAGACTGCACATTTTGCATCTTTATTTTCTGGCTGTGTAACCCTAGGGCAATTTATTTAACAGTTCTGTGTCTGTTTCCTGATCTTTAAGGGAATAATCAGAGTATGTAAACAATCCTTAAGTGATTAGCACATGCAAGTACTCAATGTTAGGTATTATTATTGTTATTGTCCTTAGGGAATTTTCTTATCAAAACATGGAAAAATGGTCCAGCGCGGTGGCTCACGCCTGTAATCCTAGCACTCTGGGAGGCCGAGGTGGGCGGATTGTTTGAGCTCAGGAGTTAAAACCAGCCTGAGCAAGAGCGAGACCCCATCTCTACTAAAAAAAAAAATACAAAGAAATTAATTGGATAACTAAAAAATATATAGAAAAAATTAGCCGGGCATGGTGGCACATGCCTGTAGTCCCAGCTACTAGGGAGGCTGAGGCAGAAGGATCGCTTGAGCCCAGGAGTTTGAGGTTGCTGTGAGCTAGGCTGACGCCACGGCACTCTAAGCCCGGGAAAAAGAGTGAGACTCTGTCTCAAAAAAAAAATAAATAAATAAACATGGAAAAGTAATCAAAATATGGAGGAATTGCCCTTAAAGGCAGCTATTAAAATATAGTTATAATCAACTGGAATAAAAAGTGATTAAATATAAAGGATAAAGAAGAAAAAATAGTTCTTAAAAGGATAATTTTAAGTTAGATGCTACTTAAAAATATACGCACAGTAAGTCCCACTTTTAATATTAAAAACAAACTTTACTAAAACCTATGTTCAAAATCTTTCAAGCACTAATGTCAGTCTTTCTGGATTTTACTAGGAGTCTGGCCTATGTGGATTAAATAATTGCCTTAACAAAAGTTAAAGATTTTCCTTTACAATAATTACCAGTATTTTTGTTCAAAGATAGTCTTTGAGCAGGAAAGTTTTGTACCTGGCACTCTCTCCCTTCCAGGGATTTCTATCAAGTTGCAAAGCCACGTCCGAGTCACAGAACACAGGAACCTCACAGCTGTGTGACCTTGGAAAATTCAGTTAACAGGTCTCTAAAAATTCATTACCTCATCTATAAATTGGTACTAACATCCACATTCCAGATCGAGGAGGGGAGGTAAAATAAGATTTCTATGAAAATGCTTTGAGAATGGCCCTTACACATACACACATTCCTAGTCCTGACCCCTTTCGCCCATTAGGAGAAGTCCTCTAGCAAACTAAGCTTAAATTGTAGTGTGTGTGTGTGTGTGTGTGTGTGTGTGTGTGTGTGTGTGTGTGTGTGTGTGTGTGTGTGTGTGTGTGTGAGGGTGGTAGTGGTGGTACATAGATAGTCCTTTATCATCACTCCTATTCTAGGTTTCTGGAAATATAAAGCCTTATTATAGCCTCAGATTTGGTTTTTTAAGTATGGGACTCCAGAGACCACTTTAAGTCAGGAAAGACGTATTGGGGCCAAGCATCCTCCTGCCTGGCACCCTCAAACTCATGACAAAGAAAACCACAATCCCTATTTGTATATTTCTTTCCTCCACCAACAAAGACTGACTGCTGCCATAATATATGATGGTGAAATATCTTTAGAGGTATTTTAGAAAATTAACCTTATTTATGTAATCAGTATAAAATTTAGTTGTTAGCTTCTATCAAAGCTGAAAAGGATTTTGATGAAAATCCCAATAGTATTGAAAGAAAAATATTAAATTTTAAGCTCATAAAACCTGATACTAGATGGAACTTTATGAACTATTAAGCTCATAAAAAAGGAAATGTATTATCACTGAGGACCACTCAAAACAAAAAAAAAGGAAATTTAATCTATTTTAGCATGAAGGAGTGGAGGAATCTGGGATCTCTAAGAACACTGAGTCTCATGTACTGTTCCAGTGTCAAAGGGAAGGTTAAAAAAAAACTTGCACAACCTCAGTGCAAATTAGGTACAATAAGAAATGAACAAAACTGTCACTTTTGTTTTACCACAAAGAGAACCACCTATGTCATATCTAATATACAGGAATAACTGGAGGGAATTTGTAAAACGAAAATTCAGGAATCTTATCTTTATAATGGCAGTATTTGAAAAGTCTTATTTAACTTAGAGTAATTAAAATATCCATTTCAATGACCTGAAATCCATTTTAGTTTAATAATTAGCAGTAATTTGTTTAAATGAGTAAATTAAAAACACTTTTTGAATTCTTTTTTGCTTTTGGACCCTAACTCATCTCTATCCTGTCAATATCACTTATGTCAACACTAATTCTATTTTTACAAAGACAGTTCTGGTCACAATATTTTCTAGTTAAGACAAATCCATCACAAAAAGTCACTGTGCTATTACCACTTTACAAACATTATCTTATTCAATCTTCCCCAAAACCCTAGCAGGGAGGAATTATTATTTCTATAACATCCATTTTAGAGATGAAGAAACTGAGGTTCACAGATGTGAAGCAACTTGTTTAAGATCACAGGGCTTGGGCTGGGTGTGGTGGCTCATGCCTGTAATCCTAGCACTCTGGGAGGCTGAGGCAGGTGGATCGCTCAAGGTCAGGAGTTCGAGACCAGCCTGAGCAAGAGGGAGACCCCATCTCTACTAAAAAAAATAGAAAATTATCTGGACAACTAAAAATATACAGAAAAAATTAGCCAGGCATGGTGGCACATGCCTATAGTCCCAGCTACTTGGGAGGCTAAGGCAGGAGGATCGCTTGAGCCCAGGAGTTTGAGGTTGCTGTGAGGTAGGCTGACGCCACGGCACTCACTCTAGCCAGGGCAACAGAGTGAGACTCTGTCTCAAAAAAAAAAAGATCATAGGGCTTTTATGTGATAGGGCTATGATTTCAGGCCAGTAGGTACTTTTAGTCACATTAAAAAACAAAGGTAAAAACTAATTTTTCAATTAGTCCCATCTAACTTTAAAAAATGTCAAGACTCAGGCCAGGCGCGGTGGCTCACGCCTGTAATCCTAGCTCTCTGGGAGGCCCAGGCGGGCAGATTGTTTGAGCTCAGGAGTTCGAAACCAGCCTGAGCAAGAGCGAGACCCTGTCTCTACTAAAAATACAAAGAAATTAATAGGACAACTAAAAATATATAGAAAAAATTAGCTGGGCATGGTGGCGCATGCCTGTAGTCCCAGCTACTCGGGAGGCTGAGGCAGAAGGATTGCTTGAGCCCAGGAGTTTGAGGTTGCTGTGAGCTAGGCTGACGCCACGGCACTCTAGCCCGGGCAACAGTGAGACTCTGTCTCAAAAAAAAAAAAAAAAAAAAGTCAAGAATCATATATTCTAACTTGGTTGCAGTTCATTTAAAAAATTAATTTTTTTCTATCTAAACATTCATATTTAACTGTGGACCTTATCAAGTAACATTTGACTTCTTTGTTTCCTTTTGTTTTAGATGTACATAATAAAATCTTGAGACACTAATACCAAAGTTTTAAAATTTAATCACCACCTTAGATGCCAAACTTTTAATATCTCCCATATAAAGAATATGGAAGAAATCTCTCCTGTAAATGATTCAAGAGCTAAGCCTGCAAAAATCAAAACCTATGAATTGTTCTCCCTCAATTCTCTACTCCCACCCAGTCACTAAAAAAACAAAACACACAACTTACAGAGAAACAAGGAAATATAGAACAATCAGGAGAACTGAAACATCAGACCATTTCTCCTTATTATATCCATTTGGCCAAAGGGACTGAACTACAAAGGTGTTGTTCTGTTGCCCTTTACAAATTGCAGAATTATAAGTGACAGTTAAAAAGGCAGCTGCAACATGAGCACACTGGACTCAAGAATGCTGAATCCAAAACATTTATCACCAGGTCTCAGTTCTAGCTTCTCTGTCAATTATACAAAGAGTCAGCTATTAAATATTAATGGCATGCCATTTGCACTGGAGCTCTTAAAAAGAGCCTTCTGCTACCAATTTTTGTTATGAAAGAAAAAATGTTCTTATTTTCTAGGTAAACCCCAGCCCACTAGAAACCCTCAGATGAGCTATCCTATTCTTTCCTTCCCAGGGGAGGCTGACAGGGCCACCTCCACAACCCGGGGAGGAGGAGGAGGAGGACCTGAGGGAAGGCGGGTGCCCGCAGGTCCCGGGGTAGGGGTCTGGGGCTTCCCTTCTCCCTCACCGGTCAGCGACAGGTCGGTGGACGGGGCGGGGCCGGGCCCGGCTGTCCGCACAAAGAGAGCGAGCGGGCAGGAGGACCTGGACCCCAGCCGGGGTGGGGACCGGGCGGGGTGGGGCGGAGCCGGGGACACTTACCCAGCAGCAGCACGTTCTTCCCCGTGGGGAGCTTGGAGCGCGAGCGGGTGGAGACCTCGCTGAGGATGCAGGACCTAACCGGGAGCAAGGCGCACGCTGAGGCCGGGGGCCGGGGGCCGGAGCCGCAGCGCGGGAGGGACGGACCCGGCCTCGGCGCGCCTAGGCAGGAGCTGCCGAGAACGCGGTGGCCGGGCCCCGCGCCGAGCTCTGGCGGGCACGGGATCCCGAGGCGTCCGCAAGGCCGGGAGAACCAGCGAGGGCTCAGGGAGGGGTGGGGTCGTTACCAAAGGTTCTGCCCGTCCTCGTCGTCGCCTGCTGCGGCGCCGCCGTTGCCAGACGCTAGTTCGTTGGTCAAGGAACCGCCCGTGTAAGTCGAGGCTAATCCCGGCGGAGAGGAACCGAAGGAGCCGACTCGTCCCACGGCCGCCATCTTGCTCGGGAATCACTCCACTCCCGGCAAGGCTGAATGAGCGAAGCGGCGAAGACCGCGGCGGCGAAGGCGGCGGGAACCCGGATATGGGGCGTTCAGCGCACGGGAGCAGGGCGGAGCCTGAGGGGGCGGGGCCCGGGCCCTGCCGGGACTGGCGGAGCCAGCGAGACCGGACTGCGCATGCGCTGCGGGCAGGCGATGCAGAGGTGCTGCGCTTGCGCGGGCGGCGCGCTAGGATGCTGTGCTGCAACCCCAAGTTCTCTGGTCGCATCGTGTTAAGGAGCTTTCTTCCCGCGCATCTGCAGCCCAGGGCTGTCGCGGGGGAGTGCGGGTTGGGTGGGTCAGGTGAACAGTGCTCCTTTCCACCCTAGGGTCAGGTCCACGAACCCCGTAGCCGGCGCGGAATTTCTGCACTGTCATTGCCGGCCCACCCACTATTCAGGCTGAGCACGGGTCCCCCGCCTACACCGGCGTTTCAACGGCGCCAAAACAGAAATGGGCCGACCCGCTGGTAAAGAAGCTGTTCTGCAGCCCTAGGCTGGAGTATTACTGTGGTCCCGGATTTCTGGGCTTTATTGTTTGCATTCTCAAGTGGCAATGTGTTCCTCAAACTGGACCTACATCAGGAGCATGTTCTTCTACCCTCGAAGCAGCTGCGTGACAAAAAAAGTATCGACAGGGCTTGCTTTAATGGTCTTGATATTTTGTATGAGATGCTCTATGTGAGATTTGAAAAGAGCCACTGCGGGAATCATATAACCAATCACCAGGCATTTATTCCACACTTAACGTTTATTTGCAGTTGGCACTGGGAATAGACGGATAGAAAAGAAATAATCTTTAAAAGCCTCAAAATAACTCCCTTTATGTTAGAAATTTACTGGTAAAATGTATTTGAATGTCTTGAGACCCCACGTTCACAGTCAGTGGTTTTAAGGCTCTACACTAGCACACCTTGAAAGAGCAGTTGCTTAAAATCATCTGGCCTTTATTTATTATCGCTATCATTTCACATTTGAAGGTCACTTGCTGATCAATGCTGTTACACTAGTGAGAAAGTCCACAACCAAAGACTTTATTTGGTATATATTAACACCTCAGCTACAAGGCTTGAAAGGCTTTGGAAGCTGGCAAATCCGAGTTCGGGTCTAGCTCTACTAGGTTACTAAGTATGTAAACTTAGGCAATTTACTTAACTTCTCTAAGTCTCAGTTTCTGGATGAAAGGACCTAGAGTTGTTACGAAGATCAAATGGGATAATTCATGTAAAATGACTTAGAACAGCAACTAGCAAATCTTAAGCATGCCCATGTTAATTATTATTAATGACAGATTTTCTCTTGTTTTTTTTCCTATGAGACAGACCAGGCTAATGTTTAAAATTTTTTATAGGGACAGGGTCTTGCCCTGTTACTCTGGCTGGTCTTGAACTCCTGGCCTCAAGCCATCGTCCCCTCTCATCCTCCCAATGTCCTAGGATTATAGGTGTAAGCCAAAGAGTCTTGCCCACTTTGTTGTTTATGTGGTTAGGGAAGGAACCAGAGCCCTCCCTTGCTGTCCCAGGCTTTCTGTGGCACCAAGCAGGACGGGGACCCTCCAGGAGAAACTAAGTATTTAGGTCACCGTTCTAAAAGAGAGCTGTATGCTCCTCTTGTCCCCTCTCAGAATCAGTTCACTCTCTCTGTACTTTTTTCTTTCAGACATCTTTTTTCCTTAGAACACTTTTCCCTCAATTTTGTTTATATACAGAGTTGTCAATTCCAGATCATATTTGTCTAGTCTGAGAAGTATTCACTTTTATAATAATGTCAGATTTTTAACATCCTGTGACTTCCAGTTGCTCAGCTACCCACTTAAATTGAGGTCAAAGTTGTATTCCTTGTGGTTTTACAATATCCCTATCCAGCATTATTCCATTAAGGGGGCTGACAAAAGTGGTCATTTATGGATGCCTACTATGTACCAGACACTGTGCGTGTTGTGATTTGTAGTCCTCATACTTTGTAAAGGATCAGATACCCCAGGTCACACAGACCAGGCAGAGGTTTATAGATAATCTGAGATTTTGACTTTTTACTCTGTCAAATTGCCTAGGTCAAATCATGTTAAAATAAATGTCCTGGCAGCTTTAGGTGAGATTATGGTAAATGCCTTCTGTGACAATCTCTACGTTACAGTAATGGGGAACCTATGTATTGTAAGGAAATCTATAAAAGGAAATAATTGAACAGTCCCTTGGACTTTTTGTTGCATAAGTGCTGTTTACAACTGAGCTATTTTCTATACTATGATTACTTTATTGCCCAATTTTTTTGTTATATCTAAAATTAATAACCATCTGTTTTTCATTTGCTTAGACTTCCATGTCCTTAACTCTAATTCAGTCTTAAATTCTTGTCCCAGTTATGTAAAACTCCTTATTAGGTATCCTAACAATTTCAGTTTCTTGAGGACACCTTTAAAAACCTTCTGGCTTGCTCCAATCTGAATTGGTTGTTCTGTAAACATAATACACAGCTGTCATCCTGTGATCGCCTTTCACCATTGTTCAGGGGATTCCCTTTACCTCAATCCTGTATCTTCTTTCTTACTTCCTATTTTAATAGAGAACTTCCTCTAACAGTTTTATAAGAAAATGTGCATGGGTAAATTTTTGGAGTATCCAGTCAGGGTCCAGCCAGGAAAAAAATTTCATCTTTAAGCGGGCATTAGATGGAAACTTAATGAAGGGACTATTTACAGGTGCAAAGTGTTAAGTGAAGGGACTAGTAATAAAAGGAACCCTTAGGCCTGAAGGGGAAAGAGGAAGGAGTGTTTACCAGAATCCAAAGAGACCTACAGCTGTAGAAAAGGATTGCTCAACAAAATCTGTAGCCTTCAGTACAGGAACACAGCACTGACCTCTCTCTTTCTACCCCCTGATCTCCTGCCATTGTCTCACTTTGACCAAACCCAACCAGAACCAGCAGGCAAGAGGACCCAAGTGAAGCAATCCATGCAGGTCTACCTGCCTGAGCACAAAATGAGAAGTAGAAAAGGATCTGGAGGGGCAAACAGGATATCCAACACATCTTGTACATTTGAAAATGTGTTTAATCTACCCTCATTTCATAATAGTTTGGCTGAGTATAGAATTCTTAAGTTACAGATTATCTACCCTTAGGTTTTTAAAGGCCTTGATCCTGTGTCTGCTAGATTCTAGTGTTGCCATTGAGAAACCTAAAACCATTTTGATTCCTAATCCCTTGCTATGTGTTCTTTGTTTTTCCTCCTTGGAAGTCTTTACAACTTCCACACATTCCCACTAACACAGCTACCCCTCTTCCAATATCTACACTTTCATACTTTTCCTTCCTACCAAGTATCAGAAGAATAATCCATACTCTTATACTAAAGCAATCTCTGTGCACTAGATTCTACCTCCTGTCATCAAGGATATTGTTCCAATAATTCTCCCCCCCAACCTTTCTCTAAATAATCATTTTTTATCTCCACTGCAACATTGCCATTAGCATAATGACATTTATACTATACATATTATTAATTCTATCTTAAAAAAAAAGAAATTTCTCTGAACCCTACTCCTTCACCAGCTACTGTAGTATTTCTTTCCTCTCTTTAACAGCAAAGCTCTTTAAAAAGAGTTGTCTCTGTTTACTGTCTTAAATTCCTCTTCCATCTTGCCCTTATGAGGCACTTCAATCAGCTTTTTAGCCCATGACTCCATAGAAACTGCTCTTACCCTTGTTGATGACCTACTTGTTGCTCAATCCAATGGTACATTCTCTATCCTTGTGTTTCTTGACCTTGCGACAGCACTGATACTGTTGCTCGTTCCTTCTGGGAATCCTTCTTCACCTGCCTTCCAGGTCACCATGTTCTCTTGTTTTTGTTTTTCTTTTTCTTTTTTCCTTCCTCACTAGCTCCTCCTTCTCAATCTCCTTTGCTGTTTTCTCATTTTCCTGACTGCTAATGTTGGAGGACTCCAGGGTTCAGTCTTTGTTCCTCTTCCCTATCTACACTGACTCTCTTGGTGATGTCATCTAGTCTCAGTACTTTTTTTTGTCCTTTTTGCTCCCCAAATTCCAGAATGCACAGTCTCGGTACTTTATATTCCCTGTATATGATAAAGACTTCTAAATTTATCTCTCTAGCCCAAAGCTCCATCTGGAACTCCAAATTAATACATCCAACTGCCTATTCCACATCTCCACTTGGATATCTAATAGGCATCTCAAGCTCAACATGTCCCAGACTGAACTTCTGACCTTACCTCACAAAAACTCCTCTACCTACTGCCTTCTCCAATAGATAACAACTCCTTGTTGCTCAAGCTGAAAACCCAAGTCACTCTTGACTTCTCTATTTCTCTCATACCCCACATCAAATCCATGAGGAATCCTGTTGTCTCTACCTTCAAAATATACCTACAATCCAACTTGTTATTTGTCCACTGATAACCCTCTTGGTCTGAGCTATCATCTGTTGCCTGAATTACTGTAAAAGGCTCTTCAACATGACATCTAGAATGATCCTTTAAAAATATGTCAAACTACATCATTCCTTTGCTCAAAACCCTATGGAGGCTCCTCATTTTAAGCAAAGTCAAAGTCAAAGTCCTTACAATGACCCACAAGGCCATAAAGGATCTGGCCCCCATTGCCTCTCTGACCTTCTCTGTTCTACTCTCCCCTGGATTTCTCCCTTCCAGATATATCAGCTCTGCTGCTGTTCCAACCTGTTGTGTATCCCTTTGCTTAGAGGCTTTCACTCTAGCTCTTCCCCCTGCCTTGAAGGAGGTGAGGAGGTGTCCAAGCCAGTATCTTCCCCCAGATAGCCGGATGACTAACTCCCTCTTTTCTTGCAATGTGTTTGCTGAGTTCTCAGTTTTTCAATGAGGTCTGTCCTGACCACTCCATTTAACATTGCAACCTGGCCCTTCACCTCTGGAATTCCAGATTCTCCTTACCTTGCTTGCCTTTTTGCTTCTTATAGTAACTTCTAACATGGTATAGAATTTACTTATTTGTTAGAACTTAAACTCTGAGAGGACAAAGATCTTTGTGTTCTTCAGTAACGTACGCAAGCTCTTAGCACCAGGAACATAGCAGGCATTCAGTAAAGATTCGCTGAAGTAATGAATCTACTCCTTG